AAACACAAATGGCCCAATAACTAAATTGAGCCTAAATGACTTAGAGCCAATAAAATCCAACAGGCCCAATAACCAAATTGAGCCCAAATAAAATAAACCCAATAAAATTCAAATAAGCCCAATAACAAGCAAGCCCAAATAAAATCCAAAGAAGCCTTAAATCGAAGAACCCAGATTCACTGCAGCCCAAGCTCCAAACTACAGCCAAATCACACCTTGAATCGAAGAACCCAGAGTCACTGGCGAATCCACAAATTCAATTGCTTTGACCAATCAGCGGCGAACTCACAGATTCCGACTGCAATTGCTCAAAATGACAACACCTGAATCTCAAACGACGACAGGAGCACAAAATTTGGCTGCAATTGCTCAAAACAGCGGCACCTGAATCACAAACGGCAACGAGAGCACAAAATTTGGCACCTGAACTGCGAACCACGATGCACACCCGAACTGCGACCCCCACGATGCAGCTACCAGAGTCTTCAAATGGCGACGGAAACCCAAAATCACGACCACAGGTTTGAAACCTAGAAACCTAGTCTCTGATACCATGTGAAATAATATTCTGAAGAATGTTTTCACATTACATTATTGGAAACGGTGATACATATATATATATATATACAAAGTCTAGGATTCTATCTTAGGAAAGTGTATAAATTAGGATAACAACTAATTACAATCTATAACAAAGAACAAGCCAAGAAATTAGAGAACTTGAATTCAATGGTATTCTGCACTAATAGGGATGAGATCCGAGAATTCAACAAGAAGGGAAAAAGGCGTGACACGTGGTGCCCTGGAAATCTTGTTAGTGAGACTTTAAAGGAGAACTTGGTGGATTTTGCTGGTTCTGAGCGTGCTGCAAAGACTGGAGCAGAAGGTGTTCGCCTGAAAGAGGGCTCCCATATCAACAAAAGCCTAATGACATTAGGAACTGTTATAAAGAAAGAAGTGAAGATGCAAGTTGAAAAATTCTCCGTCTGTGGTTGGTCCAAGGCCAACAGAGTTGTCAACTATGATATATAGTGGCGGCCCACCAGTGCCTCGACAAAATGGGAAACAGCGAACTTCGAGCTTGGAGTTACCAACCATGTTGCTAACGGGACACCAAAGTGTAGTCTACTCAATGAAATTCAATCCAGCATGGGATATTAAGATTGGGAAAGACTTGCTAGAGGAAGATTTTGTTAAGAAGACTTCTGAGTGGGTCGAAGAGTTGTCTTTGATGGTGAAGTCGAAGCAGAAGGCCGAAATTACCAGGGCTGAAAAGAAACATGGAGTACTTGATAAATTAGGCTGTATGCATCAAGCTCAAGGTGGAGTCCTAAACGTGATGGAAAATTCAGTGGTGATTATGAAAGGCGTGATACAACAAGGCATCTATATCTTGCAAGGAAGGAAGTGAAGTTGAGGTTGGAACTGAAAACAAATCTGAGATCGATTCTGCTGAAAGTTTCATCGAGGACAAACCAGAAAACTATTGCAAGCTGCCTGATGCAAGACCTGATCTGTAAAATCCTTCAAGGAATCAAGGTGGAGATTGTAAGAAATGATTCCTTAGATTCAGTTTCTTGATACCTCAGCCACAGGATAAAATTGGTTGCAAGAAGGAGCTGTTAGTTGATGGTTTGATCAACTGAATTCAGTTGGAATCTTCAACCAACTGGAGCCTTGTTAGTTGTTAGTTACTAACTCTTTTGATGCCTTTTTTGTGTCTATAAATACCTGCATAAGGTGTAAAGAAAGGGATGGCTCGAGAATGGAGAAAGGGAGCTCTGGAAAGTGAGCTGTGGAGCAGCTCGTGAGAAATAGAAAGTGAGATAAGATCTTGTAAAACTCTTGTAAATCTAACAAATCTTTCTGATGATTTCTAGTTAAGAAAATCATGTAAAGTCTTGATGATTTCTGATAGAAAATCATGTTAAGTCTTTTGATGAATAAAGCTTCCTGTTCCAAATCTGATCTCTGTTCTTCAGTGTTCTTCTTGCTGGTCTATTTTTCTGTTGTTTTCTTACCTCAGTTTCTACTGGTTTATGTTCAACTAGTTTCTCTGTTCTGCTGGTGATTTTTCTTGCTGAGTTGAATCCATTTACAGCTGGTTTTCATAGATGTTTGCTCCCTCTGCTGGTGCAAATGTGCTTCCATTGATTCTGCATTAACTTGTGGATATAAATGAAGCCATTAAGTCCCAACACATTGTTATGACAGAATAAAATTAGAAATCCTGCAAGTTCTCCTCCTCCAATAACATTGCCATTCAAATCCATTATAAATTTTATCCAACTCTCAGTCTTATTTACTGAATAAATCAAGTACTTCTCGTTCTCATTTGAAATGTAGCTAAAGCTGACATAGCCACTAGTAGATAATTCAGAAATATCAGAATTAGAGAAATATCCATTAATCCAAAGTCCACTAGTCCTATAGACATTTCTCTGTAAATGATCCCCAGGCAGGTACTAGGTTGCTTATCCAAGAAGCGAGCAATCATCGATTCCCTGTCCTGAAATCAATTCCCATAGAAGTGTGTAGGATAATCAAAGCTTTGCCATAATGTTTCATTTACAGAACCGTCTTGATTCAGCCTCTCAGTACAAAATTGCCATCATCTAGAAGTGTAGTGTAGCGCTTGCATTTCTGGGTG